CCTCGGCCTCCCAGAGTGCTAGGATTACAGACGTGAGCCACCGTCCCCGGCCAGTGAAAGGTATTTAAACCTTGGAGAACTACCTAAACACACACCAGGTATTACGGCATACAGAGGCTTTCCCCATCATGCAAGGGTTGAACCGATGGCTTTTCAGTTCTCCAATATGCCACTTATGAGTCTACGACATTTATGTTATGACCAGTTAAACTGTTTCCTGACTAAAAGGAGAATATCAAGAGGTAGAAAGAAGGACTACAACTAAAAAGGAAGGTAATTCCTTTCCCTCCTCTAGATTTAATAATATCTTGAATTTTATGGTGCCTTAATTTCTACAAAAAGCTTTCACAACTAAAATCTCACTTTAGGATCACATCATCCCTGCAAGGAAGATAATATTGTACCAATACTGGAAATGAGGAAATTGAATAGGGCCCCATTGCCCAATATCGTAAAGTGAATCATGATAAAGACAAGAACAGATATATTTGAGGAAGGCAACAGAAGAGAACAATGTCACAGATATCTGGATTTGAATTCCAAGTTTTCTACTTATAAGCTGTGTAAACTTGAGAAAGTTACTAAACCATTCTATGTCTTACATGTAAAATGGAGATAAGGCTTATCTCATAAGGCTGCTGTGAAAAATTAACAAAAATGATGTAAGTTCAGAGACTAATAGTGGTATAGAGGGTGTTCAGTAATTACTATTCCTGATTCCTAGCCTAACGTTATTCTTCTGTCCACTGCTTTGCAGTAGGTTAACACTAACATTAATATCCATTCTTTTATAGACTTTCTCAGCTGTCAAAAACATTTCCAATACTAACAATATTATTAGTTTGAAGGATGTATCAACTTTATCATACAGCAGAAGGTCATATCCTGCAAAAATTAAAATAAATAAGATACACAATAATGATTACTAATGTTAGAGCCTGGTAAATTTATTACCTTTTATTTCAGCTAAAGAAATTTACTATTATATCATAAAATAAATATTAGTAACCATAAAAACATTAACATACCCTGGAAAATTACTTCCTATGAAGGGTATTCTTTATTTACACAGCGTCATCTATATAAAGAGCCTTTCTGGCTTTCTTTCTTCTTTGAAAATACATATGTTTAAATTTTCTTACCCGTCCTATTGTTAAAGAACTAACAGGCAACTTTCTCTCATACGTTTTATCCATTAAAGATGCGAGATCAGCTGTGAAGACAAAGAATGAAAAAGAACCGTGTTAAATCTACATATTTCTTAAGAAAAATCTAACAAATACAATTTCTGCCACATAGCTGCCAATATTATGATGTCAGTATTAAACCAGATGCTCTTCCTTGCTCTTTTTTAGAAATTGTTGTTATATAAATTAAAAGATAAAGGAAGGCCGGGCGTGGGCTCAC